GGCCGCCTCGGCCTACCCCGAGCGCGCAGGCAGTCGCAACGGGTGCCGATTGGTCAAATCAGACCCCGCCTCTTTCCCGTCTGACAGACAGTTGTCCCGACCCACCGCGAGCGGGCGGGGAGTCGCAGCTGGTGTCAATTGGTCAAATATGCTGCCGCGTTGCCCAGCCCCCTTGGCCTGACAGGCAGTTACAACAGCCTACCCCGGGCGCGCAGGGAGCGCAGCGAGCGCTGATTGGTCAGACGCGCCGGGCGGTGTCTATTGAGGTCGTTCCCAAGGCATTTTTCCGAGAAGAGCGCCGCGATGTGCTGGAGGGTGTGTTGTGTGCTCCTTCCTATGGCTGGACGCCCCGCAGCCAAGCCTCGCCCTCGCCCCACCCTTTCCAGCCCAGAAGAGCGAGCGGGAAGTCCAGAACATTTCCCTGTGTCCGTGTGAAACCTGCACACGGATCAAGAGGCCGCTGGAAAGGTGGGTTGCAGTACACTGAGCTCCACACAGGCCGGATGCTGTGCCTCGCGGACGAAATCAAACACAACATGCAAAGCGATCCTAAGAAGCCGAGAGGCAAAATGTCATCACAGCCATCTTTTGTGCAAACTTGCCGGGAGGACCCTTCCTGAAGAAGCACCCGGATGCTCCGGCAATTTCTCAGCGTTTTCTAAGAAGCGCTCGGAGAGGTGGGAGACCATGTCTGCTAAAGAGAAGGGGAAATTTGAAGACAAGGCCAGGGCGGACAAGGCCTGTGATGAGAGAGAAATGAAAACATACCCTCCTAAAGGGGAGAGGAAAGAAGTTCAAGGATCTCTGCGCCCCAGAGGCCTCCTTCGGCCTCTTTCTTGTTCTGAGGATGGCCCCCAAATCAAAGGCAAGCACCCTGGCCTGTCCATCAGGGACATTGTGAACACGCTGGGAGGGCCATGGGATCACACCGCAGAAGAAGAACGCCGAGCTGGAGGGGAAATGCAAAGAGGAGATTGCTGCATACGGGCTAAAGGGAAGCCCGAGGCCTCCAAAGAGGGGGTCACCAAGGCCAAGAAAAGCAAGAAGAAGGACAAGGAAGGTGAAGAAGATGATGATGAATAAGTTGGTTCTAGGGCAGTTTTTTCTTCTTGTCTATCAGGCATTTAACCCCGCTGCACACAACTCACTCCTTTTAAAGGAAAAAAAATGGAAGTGTAATAAAGAAAAAAAATCAGGAAAGGTGTGCATCGGGGTGGTACCTTTGCACCCTGCTTAGGTAGTCTGTGTGCCGAGCAGATACTCTGACAACCTGGACTATGGGGAGAACAGGCCTGAAGGCTGGAGGAGGGCTCAAGCACTTCCTGATGGATGATTGCAGACCAGAGCCCTCGCTCTGGATGACAGTACAAAGTCCTCACAACGGCGGGGCAGGCAACGCCAGGCCGGGTGGAGGCAAGACTGAAGTTGTCGCGGGTTTTGTTCTGCTGGGCCCACCAGCGACAACCGTGGAACAGTGGAAATGGTGACCAAAGAATAGATAGTGCGCTGGGCACGTGAGCCACACAGACCCCAGTAAAGGGCTGAAGAGCAATGGTGTCACTTTGAGAACTACCTGGCCCGAGCCGAGATGTCTCCGATTGCTTCCAGTGCATGTGGAAGGTGGACACTCAGGAAGGCCACAGAATGGATGGTGCGGGCAGAGACATCGAACAAACGCACCACAGGTGTTCAGAGGAGCCAGCGCGTCTGTCCGGTGGGAAGGACAGCCAGAATGCGCCTTTGAAGCGAGGCTGGTGAGACTTTGTCTCGAGCCCTTGGGACATTTTGTCGGGGAGGCCAGTCCCTGGACGTACGTCAGCAGCGGTGTTGGGGAAAGAGGAAGACCTTACAACGATGGAGCGACGCTGTGGCTGCAGCCTTGGCTCAGCCATGATTGCGAGGAGTTAGGACCAGGCGGTGTTCCACTCAGCTGTGTACACGTTGGAACAGCGTCCTGTGACTGCAGCAAGTCCCAATTAAGACCAGCGCTCTTGACTGGGTGCACCACCTCCGTTCTGTAGGGGAGGAGGTGGGCTAGGAGAGGGTCTCGCGTGGGAGCCTCCATCCCAAGAGGGGCCACTGTTCCTGGAAGGCTGCCGGAGGCATCAGGAAGGCTCTCCAGGGGCAGGAGATAGTGGCGATCTGGCCCAGGAGGACAGCGGCCGGGGAGCCCTGTGGGGTGGCTATGAGTGGGGACCCCGCCCCCAACAACGATGCTCCTGCCACAGGGCAGATAGCTCGTCCTGTGGCCTCTTAGCACATCCACACATGGAAGTGCTCAGGGCAGGCTGCGGACATCACCACACCCCTGGGCTCCAACTGCAAGCCCTCCTGGCCTCTGAGGGACCCAGGTATCCCACCCCCCTGCCATGGCTTCCTCTGAGACGGGCCTCACCTACAGGCTCAGAGGGCGCTTTTGAGAGGGAGGGGCTTCTCTCCCTGCAGCAGCACCTGGGACACCCTTGAAGCAGCACTCCCCCGAAGCCCCCCCTGCATCTCCCACCCCCCGCCCCCGAAGCCCCCCCTGCAACTCCCCCCACCCCACATCTCCACCCCTGCTAGCCCCAAGTGACCAGGAGACACAGAGTTGGACTTGCCCTTCTCCCGCCCTCGCAGGGCGATGCCCCGATTGGCCAGGCCAGAATCTGAGAGGATTCACTCCACAATCTGGACTCGGGGTGACTGTGGCTCACCCCTATGTCCAGAAATGACTCTCAGGTCAAGGTCTGGCCGGCGGGGAGGTGACCCCAAACCAGTGACGTGTGTGTGTGTGTGTGTGTGTGTGTGTGTGT